GTGGAGCTCACTGGTCTGACCAGGATCTGGGGGGTTCCCCTCTAACAGTTTAGGGACACGGGTCAGATCCAGAACAAAAGGACTCTCTGGGTCTGGTGTGGGATCATAGGAGGACCTGAGGAGGGACAGTATGTCTGGATTCTCCTGCTGGACCTGTGGTCTCCACAGTTTACTGGATAATAACGTCTCAAATCAAATCAAATGTCTAATCAGTCATTTATTAAACAATTTATTTATTATATTTATATAAATTATTGTAAAGTTTAGAGCTGCTCCATGTTTTAAAAACAGTTCTTATGAACTTGWAATCATCTTTCAAGAGACATTTTCACTCTTGGACACCAGAAAACACAGAGCTCTGCTGAGTTTAATCCCAGTTATTGATTATAGATCAGTTCTTGTGTTTTCTGTGTTTGTATCAATGACAAACAGCTGAAGTTTGATTCTTTACATTTAGATRTGTTCAGTTTAAAAATAACGTTCTTGATGTTTTACATGGTTTACTTACTGTCTTTGTTCTTGTCCACCATTTCAAATATTCGGTCACAGATGTCATCAATATCTTCTGGGGCGTCTGAGTCGTCCAGCCTTTTGATTTTTGTGATAATCTGAGGAAAATTACAAATAAAATAAAAACAAACCTTGTTAGTTAAAGTAAGTGAACAAACASCTCAGTTAACTGCAGTTTTCTTCTAACATTAAAACTTTCTTTATGCACATATTTTATATAAACATTTGAACTCACATCACATTCACATTTCAGTTATTTAAAGGGAAATCTCTGGTTCATCATGAGTACTAATAGCAGCAGTAGCAGCTAGTTGTAGCATGTCCTGCAGGGATTTTATAATATTTCTGCTAGAAGAACTGGGTAATGAGGAGCTTCTCTTGGTATAAATGTTTCTGAACCACGTGAAGTTGTGAAAACTGAAGACAATAACTGCTCACACTGATGGAATAATCTGAGTATTTTATGATTCATAATTTCACCTTACAGCTGAAATATTATAGAGTTTCTGCAGGAAATGCTAAAGCTAGCTGCTGCACCTGCTTTTTGTCTTTACAATCAAGAATTGAATATAAAAACAACGTGATGGAAAAGTTTYTCCATTGTGTTTACATGAACTGCTGTCCACTATGGACAGGCCTTAGAATCCAACCATCAACAGGTAAGATATTAACCTTTCCACAGAACCTCACCTCAGAATGGTTGAACTATTCCTTTAAAGAGTCCTCCTGAAATCCTTTGTTTTCTCCGTTCAACCTCTACTTTCAGTTCATCACAATAACTAACACTGAGACATCCTTCGTGATTGGTCAGTCTGTAGACCACCAGAACCAAGATCTACAAAGACCACCCACATCCCTGCACCTGTTCTCCAGTCTGCGACCGTCAGGTCAGAGGTTTAGAACCAACAGAAACACAAACAGTTACATGAACAAAAACACTTTTTACTTCTGTTCCAAGAAGATAAAAACAGTTGGATTCTAGTTAGATTGTGTAGTTTTACACCTCCTAACCTCCTGACAGTTGTGTGTTTGTGCACCTCGTCAGCGTGTGACAAACTGAAGTGGAAAGCTTAAGAGGATTTGTTTCTTGTTTGTTTGCCTCAACTGACCTGAGAGCCCAGAGTAAATATCTTTAATGCTGCTTTAAACTTACATCCAGAGCTGTCTGTAAAACATGACCGAACACTGTAAACACAGTAAACACAACCAACAACTTCAATCTGAGGCTTTGTGTGTCTGACCAACACAGCAGCACACAGTGATGAAGAGGAGGGGAAATAATTCATCTGCACTGCAGAAACTGTCCATCTTACCAAGTTTAAAACCTTATATAAGCCAAAAACTGTAAAAACTGTCCATCTTACCAAGTTTAAAACCTTAAATCAGCCAAAAACTGTAAAAACTGTAAAAACTGTCCATCTAACCAAGTTTAAACTCTTATATCAGCCAAAAACTGTAAAAACTGTCCATCTTACCAAGTTTAAAACCTTATATCAGCCAAAAACTGTAAAAACTGTCCATCTTACCAAGTTTTAAACCTTATATCAGCCAAAAACTGCAAACACTGCAAAAACTGTCCATCTAACCAAGTT